CTAAAACATCAATAAGAATGCATAAAATATTTTACTATAATGCAGTGAGTATATGTGACAGGATACTAAAAATAAAACCTGAGTTATAGAAACAGAAAAGACTAATTTTAATTAATAAAAATAAAATGGATAGAAAATACAAGTTCTATCTATTAATGTTAGACTATTAAGTAAAAATATAGAAATATATTTTTCTATTTATAGAAATATAAATACACATAGAACATAAATATATACATATAGTCCAGGGGTCTGTAACCTTAAACTCTCAAACAGTAGCCATTTGGATCTGTTTCCCACAGAAAAAACATCGGGAGCCACAAAACCTGGGTGGCCATGGCCAACTTGACATCACTCATTCCCACCCAGTAACATGACTGTCTCTCTCTGGGTCTATCTCTGTCTCTGTGTCCCTCGTATCTCTTTCTCTCCCTCTCTCTCTGTCTCTCTCTTTCATTCCCTCTCTCTCTTTCCCTCCCTCTTTCTGTTTTTCTCTGCCTCTCTCTTTCTCTCTCTCTTTCCTTCCCTCTCTCTTTCTCCCCCCCTCTCTCTTTCTCTCCCTCTTCCTTTCTCTCTCTTTCCCCCCTCTTTCTCTGTCTCTTGTCTCTCTCTCTCCCCCCCTTTCCCTCCCCCTCTCTCTTTCCCTCCCCCCTCTCTTTCTCTCTCTCCCCCCCCTCTCTCTGTCTCCCCGGGGGTGGGGAGGTATCTTTGAACTGGTGCTGGGTAGTGGGAATATAGTGTCCGGAGACCAACGAACCCAGGAGCAGCTTGCTGACAATCAGCTGGTTGGCTGAGAGCTGAAGACCAGCTGGCTGGTGGTGAGGTGGGATATCACAACAACGGTGGCTCTGTAGGAAAAGCAACTGACATCCTGGAGGTGAGAGTGAGCCACCGCCGCTGCTCTCCTAGTAAAAGTCATGGACTCCAGAAGGAAGGGATCCTATCTCCCCCATTATGAAAAAATTCACTGTGCTGCGCAAGATGCTGCGAGAGCAGCAGGCAGGTCATGGAGGTAGCAACAGCAAATGCACCACGACAAAGGCGGAGTGCTGTTTCGGCAAGAGCAGGGGCACTTCGCTCCCGCACTAAGGCTCCTGCCATTGCCACCACCATGACAGGGTGACAGCTCTTTCCTCCCTCTGCTGTGTCAGGGAGCCACAGCAGAGGGATGAAAGATCTGCATGCGACTCTGGAGCCGCGGGTTGTCGACACCCAATATAGTCCTTCAGTTACAACCATTCGTTTAATGATGGTTTGGAATTACAGAAGTGCTGAAAAAAGCGACTTAAACCTTTCCTTAAAGTTACGACCTTCACACCCCTGTGGTCATGTGATCACAATTTGGGTGCTTGGCAACTGACTCCCAATCGATGACATTGCAATATCCTGTAGTCAATTGATTGTGACTTGTGACCCAACTATCTTCCAAAAAACAACATTAATGGGGGAAACCCTTCATTTAGAGAGTTTTCACCACTCAGTCATCATGCTGGTCATATATACATTCATACATGCATGCATACATACATAACATGCCTATAATAGATAAGATATAATAGGAGCTAAAATCTGGACATAGTGTTAAGTGATATTTAAAGAGTACAGTAGTTTCCTATGTAGAATAATAGAAATGAAAAAAATGCTGGTTATGTTAAGGCTTTGGTCTTATAGCAAGGCATAAATTAAGTTGTCCACAGGCCTACAGAAAAACTGAATTCAGTATTTTTTTGAATCCTTTCAAAGTGAAGAATAGAATTTTGCAGCAGTAATATATTTGAAATGGTAAAATATCTTTGGTGATGTATTTTATTCTATTTATTATTTTCATTTCAGCAAATACAGCTTAATGCTTGCATTGCCTGAATAGGAATTCCGTTACTAGATAAAACAGTTGTAAAGAATGATGTTATGTGACTGTGCTTCTTAGGGATGACACTTCTGGTTGCCATTGTTAAGCAAATTATCAATCATTGTTAAGTGCACTGTACTATGGTCACCATTTGTAATCTCCTGCCTCCTTTTCCAGTAATTTTGCTTGCGAGCTGGCAGTGAAAGTTTCAAATGGCAATCATGATCTCAGGGCACTACAGTGTTGTAATTGTGAGGTGGTCACCGAGCATCTGGGTCACAATCATGTAACCATGGGGACACAGCAATGGCTGAAATTTTGGGAACCAATCTTAAGTACTGCTCTTTCAATGATATAAATTTTAATGGTCTCTGAATGAGTGGTTATTAAACAAGGATCACCAGTACTGTAATGGCCAAATGCATTATTTTAAGCAAGAACACAAGCACAAACATTTTAGCTCTAATAAATCTAATAAAGCTTGCCACTTGATTGAAAATTGTTTTGGATTATGGTTCCGTCTTAATTATTTAGAAAAAAATATTAGCTCAATATTATCTAATATGAATGTAAACAGAAATGAAGTCTATTCAATTTCCAGTTTATTTATTTATTTTATTTAAATCAAGGTATTCCAGTACCCAAGTTCTTGATAATTTATCTCTTCTTAAAACTGATTGAAATTCAGTTTGGGTTTTTTAAAGTCACTTTCTTATATATCTGCATAAAGCAGTGTTTTCATCCTAGTGCTGTCCAATTTAATTTTGAGCAACTAATCTAAGAAAGCTAATGCAATTTGGTATTATAAAAGGGTGCTAATCTAGAACATTAATTTAAATAATTTTTTAAAAGTTTGAAATCATAATCCAAAGAAGATATTTTTAATTTTTATGACAGCAATTAATTTGTAATATAGTAAAATTCCCTGTCAGCAAAAAATATCAGGCAATGACCAAATACTTAAATTTAGATGTTTAAATTGTTTATTTACATTATATGTAAATTATGTAAAATTTAATACACCCCATAAATCGAACTTCAGAAGCTCTTAACTTTAACTAATACCATGTTTTTCTTCCTTTGTAAAATCAAGGTTTTACTGAAATAATGACTTTTATTAGGAGAAAGCCGCTTTTTAAAGATTCTTTGTGTTCCATATTCCTTAATCCTCTGAATAGTTGCTCTTTATCTTATTAGTTTCATATGAATTATTCATTTCTTAATAAACCTACAGATAAGTAGATAAGAGGGTGTATTTAATTTAGTGGCTTCAAGAATTAATGAAGGATGCTGTCCAAAGTATTTTGGTGAGTAGAAATAGAATACAACTTGTCACTGCTCGACCCTTTGTTTTTCCATTCTAAGTAATTATTTTCTTCATCATTCATAGTGATACAAACTGGTGGAAAGGTGAAACTCATCAAGGGACAGGATTATTTCCGTCCAATTTTGTAACCGCTGATCTTACTGCTGAACCAGAAATGAGTAAGTAGCACAGTGAGAGGAAAGCCATGGATAGATGGTGCAAGAATAAGAAAAAGGCTAAATCATTCCCTTCAAAAAGGATTTTACTGCTATAGAAAATATATTTCTTTATATTAAAAGTCCCTTAGTTTTAGATTCTATTTCTTTATTTTACTCTGTGTTCTTCTATCCTAGTCTCTATCCAATTCTAATTCATTGGTCCTATATTCTAATTAATATCTTCTAATCTATTTTCTATTTTAACTTAATCTGGGATACTTTTTTTTAGCTTTCAACATCCCCATAATCCTTCCCCACCTCTGTTTGCAATTACTTATGTGGCCTAATAGCTCGGTACTGGGGGTGGGTGGTGGGTGGGGAGGGAGGAAGGGCTGGCATCCTGCCTGCTTTTTCCATGCTTTGTGAAAGCTGCAGTGCTATCAGAGATTTAGTGTTGCTGTGATTTAAAGTCAGGACTCTCTTTTCCTGATTTATTTGCCTAGCCAGAATATACCGTAGCTTTCTGGAATTTCATATTTCTGATTCTGTCTACTTCTCACTTTTCATTGCTGTGTTGCATGATTGCCAGAACTAGTTACAACACTACTGGCATTATGGTTTTTGCTGTTGGTGATACTGTACATGTTGGTTACTTGCTGGGGCTTGCTGACCAGCTGTTCCTATGGGGAAAGGCTGGGATCTTCCCTTTGTTGAGCTGAGTTCTGTTCCTTCAGCTCTTTCCAGGGCTTCTTTTTTTCTCATGAATTCCTTCTTTTTTGCCATTAGTGCCACAGTTTCTTTTCAGACACCTTTAAAAATAGAGCCTGTTAAATAAAGGAAGGGCACGCAAGTCAGTAAAGGGAGAACAGCGGCACAAACAGCTTTTTTTGCTGTGCATCTTTCCTCTCACACTATTAAAACGCACAAGCTTAATTGTGACATTTCTGACTTTCCCCACTTTTGCTGTGACGAAGCCAGATTGTTTGCAGGCAGCCTTGACTGTTACTAACTGAGTCATTCGCTTTGCTACTGACAAATCCTTTCACAGTTCCCATTAACCATGTGAGAAAGTCTTTTATCTCCTAGCATATTTATTCCTTTTAGAAAATAGCAGTCAGAGAAGAATGAAGCTATGATGTCAGTGCTGAACTAAACTAACACACATAATGGGACTACAGAATGGTCTGACATCAGTTCTTGGGAATTTTTTAGAACTAATCAGAAAAGCATTAGTGTGTAAGCACCTTATGAGCAATGAAAAATTACCAGAAGTCAGTATGTGTTTGTCAAAAACAAGTATTTGCCAGGTTTGTAGCTTTCATAGAAGATTATGGAAATGCTGAAGACATATCTTTATTTCAGCAAATCATTTCACATAGTACCTCATTATATTCTGATTAGGCAACTAATAAAATGGAGCTGGATCGGATGACAATTATGTGGACATAAGTAACTCACTTGAAAATTATATTCAGTTCACCAAATCAAATTGGAGTGGAGGCTGGGATGCTGTATACTGATTTCTTTTTGCCCTTCTGATTTCCTCCTCTGTGTCCTTTCAGCCCCTGAAATTGCTATTCTTCCTAACTGGCAGCCATCTGCCAGCAGATCTAAAACTCACGGTAATATTTTGGCTGCTGGTGGGAAGTTACTGGACATTTGGAATGCAGTAGGACTCTAGATTAACCTCTGATGTAAACTTATTTTCCATTGTAAACTTTTGTCACGTGGTTCAGTATTCTTTCATTTTTTTGTTTCTGCAGTGAAATCTGAAAAGAAAACGGTACAGTTTAGTGATGAAATTCAAGTTGAAACAATTGAACCAGAACCTGAACCAATGTATATTGATGAAGTATGTACAAAATCCAGCCATCTGTAAAGAATACATGAAGTACTGTCTTTTGATTTCAGAATTGGCTGAGTGCTGTCAATAGATGAAAGTACTAAAAAAAAAAAACCTCAGCCAAAATTTCTTCTATTTTAAACATATTAAGTTATCCCAATAGCTTTTGTTTTCCCCCTATTTTCCCCTTAGTAGCATCTTCCTTGCTCTTTAATTAAAACATTAATAAATATATGTGCTGGGAAGAAAATAAAATAGAAACTAATAATTAGAGTTGTGAATGCTTCAAAAATTATTTTGAAGAAATGGTTCAGAATTCGCACCAGCACAGCACTTCTCAACTTCTCGCTCATTCAGCTCTTTTTAGGCTTTCTCAGCTCAGTGTGACTCTTAAAACAACACAATAGAAACTGAAAAGAGACCTGAATAATGGGAAGTACACAAATTCTTCCCTGAATCTTTTCTTGTTTGAGTGCAAAGATTTAATATTTTACCTCATCCATTGGCTCATACTCAATTATTACTTCTATGGTCTACTGCCTATTCCTATATGTAGATATATTTATGGAATGGCAAACAAGTCAAATATTTATCAAAAGTCAATCGTTGTTCTTTTATTTGTATTTTTATTGTATTATAAGTTACCCAGAGTTGTTTTGGATCGTGAAATGGATAGCATATAAACAAATAAGCAAATAAATATCTGTTTTCATAAACATTACATAAAATGATTTAAACATTTTAAGGTCCAGTTTCTTGTTTCATTCCAGTAGTTACCTTTTATACCAAAAGATTTGTAAAATGCATGATTTAGAAGAATTTAATGAATTTGTGCCACATTATATTTGTGCATTTCACTACTCCCTTGCTTCATTTTATTTGCTATTCAATCACTAGGTGGTGGTGTTGCTATAGTTAATGACTACCAGTAGCAATCAGGTTTCTATTCTATTGCTTCTTAAAGATTTCTAAAATAGCTTATATATGTTGAAATGCTCTATTTATATTAATGATAGTGTAATTGGAAATTATTCATAGTATTGTGAATTCTTTATATTTCTGTAAGTCACCCAGAGTCACTGAGAGTGAGTGGATGGCATTCATATTTATCTACCTACCTACCTACCTACCTACCTACCTACCTACCTACCTACCTACCTACATACATACATACATACATATGAAATGTTATTTTATTTTTGACTGGTTAATTTGTTGAGGTTATCAAGTAATATATTTAAAATTATATTTATAGTTGTAGAACAATTGTATAAAATTTAATTTGACCAGTATTTCTTTAACTCGGTGATACTTATTAATTTTTTTACATGAATATATTAAAATGTATGGTGTCAGTTTATACAATTTGCTTTCTAGAAAGGATATTGTAGAACTTCCTAGTTCATATAAACATATGTTTCATTGAAAGAAATGTGGTGTGAAAATATAACTGTATTATTAAACCTACTTGCAACTAGCTTGATAATACTTGTACTGCTCTCTCTTAAAAGTGAATATTTGACTATTTGGCATATAATTTAATGTCATTGAAGAAAATAGTACTATATAATCCATGAGAACCAGTTGGTATAATGGCTAAGATGCCTGGCCAGAACCTAGAAGACTGAGAGTTCTAGTTCTACCTTGGCACAAAGCCAGCTGGATGATCTTGGGAAGCCCATAGTCTCCAGGAATAAAGAGTACTGTAACTTGAAAGCGTACCCCCTTCCCCCCCCCCCCAAAAAAAAATCCCTGATAACTCATATATAGAAACAATGTATTTATTTCTGCATGTTGCAATGAGGTTTGATCTTCTGGGTTTTTTAAAGTCAACAGGATCTCCATGCCACATGACAAACCTTTTTGCATTTAAATGGACTTTTAAAATTAAATTCTAATCTCTCAGGGCAATTGAGGGTAGAAGAAAAGGATTCCATTTTGAAGAAAAGAAAAAAAATCAAGTATAGTCAAGTTGTTGCACACACACCTCATGCTGTTACAAATAAAGAATTTTATGTCATGTTCTAGGATAAAATGGACCAGCTGTTGCAAATGTTGCAAAGTGCAGATCCAGCAGATGACGAGCCAGACCTTCCAGAGCTGGTCCATCTTGAAAGTAAGCTTCCAAATGCTACATAACAATGTCACACAACAGACCTTCTACCTAAAAACCACTTCAAAAATTGTGCTAAGCTAAACTACCCCTACCATTTCTGCAAAACTAGCTTTCTTTAACAGTCTTTTTAAATCTTTTTATTTGTTTATTAATTCAGTGAAAGAAACAGTGCTTAGTTCTGTTGTCTAATAACATCATTTATCTACAGCACTTGTTTATTTGTTTGAGATGTTATAGAATAAGGAATCTGGAAGTAATACAATGTTAACGTTTATAACAGCTGGAGCAAATAAAGCATATTAATATCTCTATTTCTAGCAATGTGCCATCAAATGGGACCTCTCATTGATGAAAAACTAGAAGATATTGACCGGTAAGAATAGCAGTAAGCTTAGTATCTTACAGTAGGGATTGGCAGCCTTTTTATCCAAAGACATCACATAACATTGGAGGGGGACAGGGAAAAAAACTACAACGTTTTGAGGCTATATCACAGCCATGGGCAACACTGGTTTTCAGAAAAATTTTTTGGCAGGTTTATAACTAGTTGGTCTATTTTAGAGTTTATACCACAGTTTACATTCCTACACAATATTTTTTTTTAAATGATATGTGTTAATGTTATTTAGCTTTTTTAATAGTAGCCATTGTTTCCATTTTCCCATTTGAGAAGGCATACAGTTGGCTACTTGAGAATCAGGCCACATATTCACTACTTTCGATGGTCAACTTTTTTTTTTAAGGTATTTTCATCCTGTGACTATTTCCTTGCAATTCTTTACTTGTTTAAGAAGGTTGGAAGGGTTTTGCTTGCTATTACGTAGCAAAAGAGTTGTATCTGCTGCGAACTCCATAGGGCTTCAGGAAGTGTATCCAGCTAGTAAACGTTCAGTTCCATCCAGTTGCCCCAACTCTACCCCGAATTAAGAGATTACAGGGTCTTAAAAAGAGAGTTAGGAGGCAAGAGGGTTGTCCTTCTGTAAAAGCCTATTACTAGTAGCTTTGTGCTTCTACTTTGGACTTGCAATGGAATAATTTTTATTTCTTATTAACTGATAAGCTGTTAACAAATAACTCATGATGCAATCTTGTATTTAAAAAATATTACTTATTTTTATTTGTTTCACCCAGGAAGCACTCAGAACTTTCGGAACTCAATGTAAAAGTGATGGAAGCCCTCTCATTATATACTAAGTTGATGAATGAAGACCCAATGTACTCCATGTATTCAAAATTACAAAACCCTCAATACTACATGACTCAATCTAATGTTTCTAACTCTCAGGTATGCACCTGAATGTTTTAAAAACCTGTAGAGATATTGTCCTATTTTGAGCCAAATCATTATAAAGTTGTTAACATATATTAGTCATAAATATTCAGTGCTATTCAGAATGTGGGAGGTTTGTGTTGTACATTTTTTGAAAATTAATGGGAAATTATATCTTAACAAAATATAATGATGAGACTATATCATCTATCCAGAGTTATGAAGTCAAATTTATTATACCCCAATTTTACTGTATAGGACCAAAATACCAGTACATAGTAAATTACATTAATCTTGGAAAGAAATGATTGCTTGATGGATGGATTATGTACCATCCAGTTGGTATTGATTCGTAATGACTACCTACAGATTTTATCCATGATAGTCTCCCCCTAATTTAGTCCTTCAGGTGTGCACTGACCAGCACTAATTGAGTCCACATGGAGAGAAATGACTTCAAGTTTAACGATTTGTGAGAGATGGGTGTACTAATATTCTTGGATGTGAGGAAATGTACTGTCATATAATAGACATTATGAAAAGATGTTAGTGAGCCTGGATTCTTTTTCTTAAGCTGCAATTGAATATTGCTATATCTTTTGTTTGGGAGGAAGGTTAAATTAATAAGCATAAATTGGCAATGAATTAGCTTATTGTTGTGATTTCTTTCTTCCTATTTGATGTTTTTTAGGTTTATCAAGGACAGCCTCAAAGCAATGCTTATTTGGTGGGAGGAAATACACAGATGAGTCACGTGCAAGGCTACAGCCTTCCATCTGATCAACTTCCATCTCTTAATCAAGGCACAGTTCCTCCAGTAGCAAGTCCCGGGTTAGCTAGCCAGCCAGTCCAGGCACCTTACACAAAGTAATTGAAAAAAAATAATCTAAGTTTTAATTTAAACTAAACTAGCCAGTCTTAAAGTAAAAATTGACAAGAAACTTTCAGCATCCAACTGTGTTCAATTATTCATCTCAAAAATCTGATTTTAATGTATTTGATTTGTTCTTCATTTTAAAAGAATATGGATAAAATCAGAATAAAAACACTAATTGTAATAGAGTTCCATAATTTAGTTTTATTGTTTAGGATTACTCAGGAATGAGCCTCATTTTTAGTGTTAATTTAATAAGAAATTTTTAAGATGGTTTGAAACACTATTTTGGGAGAAAAAGCTATAACATTCCTGTTTGTTGTAGTCAAAAGACTGCAGGCATCTTAGAAATAATAGGTATCTTCTAGATCTCTGGGTGACTTTTCTTTTCTTTTCTTACCTGAAGTCCTTTGATAAAGGTGCCTTTTTGAAGATAAATTACAGGTTACCATAATTTGAGAAGCTCTTCCAGTATAAAAAATTGAATGGATTTTATAGAGTAGTATGTGAATAAGATCCATGAAAACTTGATATGTCCTCCAATGGTATTTAGTAATAATTCTTACTGAATATTAATAAATTATGTCACATAACTTAACTAGCTTTCTGAGAGGTCAGTTTGGATTCTCTTTTAAATTGTATTCTATTTCAAGAATAAAAACAGTG